CCTGGACAGCACTTCCTAGTGGAACACAACTTACTTTCCTCTAAACAAAACACAAAGAGGACATCCTTGATCTTTTACTGCCTAAGTGTTTCTGGTGCAATGATCTACTTGCAGCTGACATTTGAAATTTGAAGCTAAAGGGAATTCAGCAGATGGGGTTTGAAGGTCATCCAAACACAGCTTCCAAAGTGCTCCATTTTGCTCCCTGGTGCCGCCTCAATATACACCTCTGGTTGTAAGCTACCCTGTACCTTTTATCCTCCAAGATGATCATCTGGTATTTCAATTTATGATTTGTCAAGTAAGAGCAAAAAAGATTTACAGAGATGTTCTATTGATATTTTACTTTAAATCAGTTCAGCTAGAAAACTTGATTTTGTCTTTAAACTTAGACTGTTCAAAGAAAAATAAAAAAAACACTTCTCTTTTACTCTGCAATCACATGACTCAACCAAAAGTAGATCTGCATCCTGAAATGCTGCTATGTCTTTTCAAGACACTGTTCTGGAGATATGAGATATTCCTTGGATTATCAAGCGGCCTTGAAAGAACCTGAATTTGTAATTCAGAACTGTTCATTTTTGTACCTACCTCCATTTGCACAGAGAGGCTATGTTGGCATAGAAGGCTCCCTACCACCCCACATACAGGATTGGCCCACATCTGCATGACACCAACGTCCTACACAACGAGCCTATGCAAATATCGTTAATGTTCCTCTTGCCTAAACGAGCCAGCACCACTCTGGATTAGATAACGTGAAACATGCTCAGCATGCTGTTTTCCCTCCATTGCATGGCACCTTGGTCACTGAATTCAAATCAAAAGCCAAAGCTATAGGTGACAACTGATTCCTGGGCAAACTCAGTGGAGGTAAAACACAAACAAGGCAAACTCAAAATATGCTCCACGATATTCCACCATTCATTGATTTTAAGGCTTCTGCACCCACAGGATCCTGGTGCACGTACCTCTCGAAGTGCCTGCTAACTAAACATTTTCAGTGAACGTCACCAACAACAACACAAGTGTAAGCACGTTTTCTCCACGAGTCTCTGCATGGACTGTGTGGTACTTACCTCCCATAGTGTGGGTTTCTTAACTTCCTCCCCTGTACATGCAGGCGAGGAGACGTCGCACATCGGTTCCCACTGTGCACCTGGAGCGTTCCCAGGGCGGCTGCCAGGGAGGCGGTTGTGCAGCTCCCGACAACCCCCTGCGCCAGCCGCGAGGCTCAACCCTCCGCTCGCTCCTCCGCACGAGAGAGGCCCTTGTGCCAAGCGGCAGCGCCGGCCATCGGGAAGGCCGCTTGATGGGCAACCCCAATAGACAAGCTCCTGCAGTGCTAAAGAGCTTGCTCACCAAGCAGAGGAACACTCGAGCAGTCCCTCAACTGTACTGCATTTTGCAACCTTTAGTCATCAAAACTTGGTAAAATGGTTCAATACAGTTGTGAGCAGCTGTCCAGCACAGAAACCAAATGCCAACAGAAAATAACACCACTAGTGTTATCTAGACTACATGTTGACAAAATGAAGATAGTACCTAAAGTTACAGCATCTGTAGACCCACTAGACTTCACTCTTTCCAGCTGTGCCACATAAGGAGAAAAGCTCAACCTGAGGCTGGGCAACAGAGTGGCAAGAAATTAACAGCAACGCAATGAAACAGGATGACGGAATGTTAATAACAGTCCCAGGGGCTTGTCCAAAAACAGTATCAAAAGCCTGGCCATGGCAGAGTACCAATGTGTGAACCCATCCTTAGCTTGAGAACTAGCAACACTTAAATCACAGCAACATGGTGATCATCTCAGGCCAATCACCAACACCTGCAGAGTCTCTCTGTCCACCCTAAGCACCAGCCCGCTGTGACTTCTAGCTAGCCAGATGATGCCTATTAAAGAAAGTAGAAATACAGTTACATAAGGTAACACCATTTCCTGTACTCAACATACAATTCACAAAAAAAGAAGGCTGTTTATAACTTGGCACACAGCGAGATCTAGCATCTCTAGCAGGGCTCACCTGGAGGCGGCAGGAGCAGCCGGTCACCCCGCAGCCGGGCTGCATTCCCGGGGCTGGGAGCTACAGCAGCACAGAGCCAGAGGCAGAGCCAGGGAATACGTGGCGCTCCCAACACAGCCTCGAAGCACAGGCTGTGTCTTGGGCTGTCTGCAGGTCCCACATGCCCTGCAGAGCGTGCTGCACGACCCAGAGGGAACCGCTAATTACTTGTTTCAATTGCAGTTGACTCAGACCGAACAGAAGCGACGCGCTGGAAATTATCTGGCTGGTGCCCACTTACTTGCCAGGCAAGTTACCCCAAACACTGCAGTCACGTTCACACCAAGCTTCCTCAGACTGCAGAAAACCACACCAAGTTTCTCAGTGATCTACCAGCAAACGGCCACCTGGAAGCCCAGCCCAGCCCTGTGAATCTTTGCCAATCCTGCTGCGGTTCCTCTGGAGTTGGATCTCAAATGTGGCCCCTGCTTTCCACAGTGTTCCACTTAACGCAGCTAACGCGGGTGACTAAAGCCCTGCTCGGCGCCAGATGGCCAAACGTCAAATAAATTAAAATGTAACCATTGCCAAATCTCTGCTAAAAAAAATAGAGAAGAAAACAAAAGGAATGAGAATTTAACATCAAAAAAAATATATAATCAACATGCTGATTCACTTTCATATTTTACTTTTATAAGGTAAAAAGTAATAAAAGGACACAATGAAGCTCTGGCCCCAACCACCGAGCAACCTCACAGCTCTCTTCATGCTGCTAAGAGTGTTTGTGTCCTTCAAGAATTGAATGCCACCATGCTCTAAGTTGGACTTATGTCCCCCATGCCACTTCAGGCACACAAGCCCTTCCAAAGAGGCATTAAAACTAAGTAACAACCATGGCTGGATATCACATTTTCTCTAGAGAAGATCATGTTTGGAAAACAGTTCTTCCTATCCCACCAGGCAAGAACAACCAACCACATACTTGCCTACAGTTCAGCTAATCCTGACACCATGATCACCAGCAGCTGATCAGCCACACATACACCACCCACCCGGATACAATAATTATTTGCATGCACCTAAAATCTGCAGAGTTACTCGTGTTTCCAGCAATTTACCCAGGTAGCTGCCAGGGTGGCCAGGGAACTCATTAGTGCTACTCAGTTCAGAGCAGGCTGTAGCCCAAAGGGAGGGAACGAGAGTGAGCAGTTTTTTGGTTAATTTACAGACTGGAAAAAAAAATTAGGAATAGCACCAAGTTCCAGTTTTGCACAACTTCTCATCCCTACATCAACCTACATCTGACACCTGACATAGCACCCTAGAAACATCTAAAAGCAGTCTTCACACCTTCTTTCTAGAAAACTATGTGATCTAGCATGTCCCACATCAGATTAAACAGACAACTGTGGATGAAATGCAGATTTTACACTAAGTCTTCTAACTGTTAGGATAAATTATTCCCCCTAAATCACTGGTTTTCCTACTTTCATTTAGAGGGAATACTTATTTAGCTTCACATAGCCGTATATAATTAACAGTCTTCCATACATGCCAATGGATAACTTCAACTTTGTAATTAAATAAAGCACTAAATAACTATATATAAACAAGTCGAGGCTATCTGTGCTGCTGTCATACTACTTTTTTTTTTTAATAAAAAACTAAAACTACAAAATTGGGATTAGGATGAGCACAGCTGAATAAGCCCTTAGATCCTATAGCACAGAACCCTAGAAGTCACAGAATACTATAGCTGAAATAGCTTGGAAAAGGAACATGTCTCTTCCTGCATTGTGGCAGGATGAACTATTCCCTCTGCTCAATGTCTTCTCTGCTTTGAATCATCACCAAAATCCAGCCAATTCATCTCTCAACTGACATAAACCTGGAATTACTCTGCTAGACTCCACCATTGCAGGTTATATTCTAGGTAAATTTCAGCTTTACACAACCCAGTAGGGTATAGCTGGTCTTCAAAGAGCTCTGCCAAAAAAAAAAAAAAAAAAAAAACACCACCACCCAAAAAGACATTTTGTCTTCAATATACTTCTTTGCCCATAAAGTAAGTGTTGCAGGTTCTAAATAGCCATTCAGCCCTGAATTAGATTGGAAAACACATTGCGATTATTTTTAAAACACTTATGAAAAGAAAGATCGAATTGCTCTCTCTGTCTCACCCTCTGATCTTGCAGAATACTGGGCTCAAGTGGCAGCAACACTATAGACTGACATTTTCAATATGTACAAAGCAAGAAAATAACCATTTTAGAAAGGCTTTTTACTTCAATCTCCTACTGGAAAAATGAAATTGGATCTGAACCTTTGCACTCTCAAGATGAATGAGCAATATTGGAGTAACACACCTCCAGAACATACCAACATTAGCAGTAAATTATGGACAGAATTAACATCGAAAGTTTTCTTACCAGGTTATCTTACATTAGAGAAGTCAAGCAGGGAGGCAAAAAGAAACTTAATAGATTCTAGTGGCAACAAACTATTTCAATCTATGATGAATATTGTTTTTGGAATACAGGCTAGGCAAAAAGAATATCAATAAATGCATTACTAAGAACTCCGCTCTTGAAAGAAACGTTGAGCAGACAAATGGACATGCATTTTAAACAAACCCAAAGTCTCCTGTATTGGTCTGACCAAAATCTTGTCGCACAGATTTCCTAACATTATTCTTCCCAGAACCAAGAAAAGCCTGAGACACTCTAATGTATGAATCATTTGTCATACTTCAATACAATATTTGTTGCTGGAAATCAGGGAACTAAAACATACTGGATAAACTAAGCTATCCTGCAGGAACAGAGGAAAAGAAATTCTGACTAAACTCTTAAGTCTGGAACTGTTAACACCATTACTAGCATGTAGAGAGGAGTGGTGACTCTTGTAGACTTTATTCCAAACATTTTTCCCTGTCTTCTCAATTTAATTTACTTACTTAGAATGTGTTTTGCAAGTAGAAAAACTAGTTGTTACCTTTGCAAGAAAACAGTCTACTCTGTCTGCATCATTAAGACTCTTCAGACACATCATAAAGCAAGAAGACTCCTTAGATGATCTCATGATTTATCCCCTCGCAGTGAGTTTTTATTGGGCTTCTGTTGGCATCCTTTGCAGTAACTTCCCCTGCCCCAGCCAGAAGGTGTTTCCTAATTGCCCCTCATTAGGAAACTTCGTTAGGGAGGTCAGAGAGCTTGCACCTGCAGTGCAAACCAGGCCTCCTGGGGAACATGCCCAAGGAGAACCATGGGTTCTGCCTTTATGCAGCAACCAGGCTGGGTTTTGCTGAGGAAGCGCAGCAGCTCTGGTAGCCCTGACTCACCAAACACCAAGCTGGATGTTTTGCTCCTCAAATATCATGTGCTGGCGCGAGCTCTCCCGCCTGCCTCCTTTCCTGGCTCTGCTCTTGTGTGAGGGTGCTAAAGAAGCGCAATTTCCAAAGTCAGGAATAAACCTAACTGCTTAAGGATCTGATCCGGCAGAGCCAGGCACCTCGAGGAGCTTATGAAAAAATTGGAATTTTTAGGCAGCTATGATTTTTTTCTCAGATTATTAAAGAAAAAGAAAAACAAATAAGCAAGAAACAAAAGAAAAAAAGAGTTCCCTGCACACTCTCTAGAAAAGCATCAAACATCAAAATATTTGCAGCATTTCAGTGGATAGTTTACTCCTGAACACATTCCCCTAGATACACTGCTATTATGTTTGAGGTGTCCAGGGGAAAAAAAAAAAAAAAAAAAAAAGGAAAACAACAAGAGCATCAGCACAATTACAGTCACAACTTTCACAACTGATGTCTCTGCACCTGAGCTCTCCAAATGTTCAAATGTTCTCTACTTCCAACACGTTCATTCTAAGGCATTTTTTATAGTCAAGGCCAGATCTCATCTGCGTGTGTATCGTCTCAAAGGAAGATCCCCCCCACACACGCTCTGCTCACTCTGCTTTTAAGCGTTCCCTTTTGCTCCCTGTTCCCTGGTAACCTTGGATTCTGCCTCCACTCTCGGCAGTCCTTAGTCCTCCCTTACCCCACTGCACTCATGACTTCGCAGTCTCTACAGGAAATGTGCAGAAAGCAGATTTCAGACGGGCAGAACAAGGTCAATTTTGACCTTCCTCCCTTAAAAAATAACATCATAACCTGCATGAGTAACAGAAATCAGATCCGTACATATGGTGGGAAGATTGAGGCATGGAATCTCAATATCCCATAAAATTGTTCTGTGCCCCTCAGATAATCTGTCAGGAACATGTATCAGGTAGAAAGAGCTTGAATTAATTCCCTCCCTTCTTCTTTCTCTTCCGCAGTGACCACTGATGACTGTGGCATGTTTGTGTGTAGAGGTATGTGCATATGCATATGTAATGCATATACATCACGATCAAAACCATCCAAATGGTCTTTGCTGTTGTTGGTGCTTCCCTGCAACCCCAACCACGGCACTTTTTAGTTTCAGCTGGCTGCCTCCTGAGTTCATCCACGCAGGACTACCCTTTGGCATCACTGCCAACAATGTTTACTAAAAATACCTCCCGAGCATCACAAATAGCAAGATGGGAGGAATTCTTAATCCCCCCTAGGGCACACAGTCCTTTTGCTTTTGGTAAATACAGAATGGCAACAATGCACAGAGAATGAAGTGTGTCTTATAGACCTGGCCTGTTAGTCTGTTTGCCTCGCAGGACGGAAAAATGAGAACTGCCAGTATTTGCAAAAACTGTCACCAGAGGAGAAGAGGAGGAGGGGGGAATTCCTAGCACAGAAAGTCCCCAAATCTCCCAAGTCTGGAACGTCCACATGTTCAGCACAATAGGATTTAGTGTCCAAGCCACAGGGCCAGCATATTAAAGAGCACGGCAGCCCTGCAGGTTGCCTCCTCCAGGCGATGCAGCCACACGGAAGACACAAGAGGAGGAGAAGGTCGAATCTGGGGCCACTTCAGCTTCTCAAGCACCTCACAACATTCCCAGCAAACAGGAGTGCAGGCCTGGTGCCGTGGAGAGCAGTACGAGCCTCTTCTGCAGCATGGACACTCCAAACACAACATTGCAGCATCCCTGCTAAACAGATCCACCTACAGATTTTAAAAGATCCCTGACAGTATAAAGGGCTTGTGAAGGAACTACATGCAAGTGTCCAAACTATAATAAGGAGCCTAAAATCAACCGCCATTGACTATGTTTTCAGCTGTTTTAATTATTAAGTAAATAATTACTATAGGTAGTACATCCTACTACAGGTAGAATTTCAGAATTCAGAATTGTGAGCTTCGATGATCCATATGACTCTGAGATTAAAAAAGAAAAAAAAAATACAAGTCCCAATTTATAATCAGCAGAAGGTTGGGTAACTTTTCTTCACATTCTTCTTTAAGTTTTGAAGTATATTAAACCTAGAAATTAACTACCACTGTTCAGCATCAACTCTATAGGAAGGTCTTTGCAAGGGTACCATAAATGAATTTAGGAACCTCTTTACTGTGTAAAAGCATGTAGCAGCATGAAAAGCATTCACAAGCATGTAGCAGGATACAGTATCACTACAGGGTCTATAACAGATTCACAGATATTAGCCATTTACTTTAAGATTTTAAATGACATTTTCAGAAAGACAGAAACCTAGATAACTGCATCTTAATCACAGCATCACAACTTCATTATAAATTAATCTTATATTATATATGAACATAATCAGTTAAGCAGGACCTCTTTCTCCAAAACATTAGACTACAAATGTGCATTGCACATGTGCACACAAAATATTTTTGTCATTCATCTCAAATATCAAAACATCTGGCAACAGAAAATAGAAAAATATTTATAGACATTTTTGGACAGAGGTTACTTCAGGTCAAGTCAAAACACATCCCGAGGCTGCAGTCCTCAAATTCTTTTATCAGTTATTCTGGGTTTACCCTGTGTTGGAGAGATGCGACACAGGCTTTTTATAGCAGCTGTTGATTCAACAATGATCAAAGTTTTATCCTTCTTCTCTAGATCAAAGAGCAGCAATTTAGGATTATCTCCAGCTCGTAAAGTAGAACAAACATTAGTTTTAGACAACTACATTGTTATATAACTATATTGTCTTCGGGTTTCTTTTTTACATATGCCATATGATTTTAATATAGTGGCTGATTATCATTAAGCTGTTTTATTGGCTTTCTAGAGTAATATAAAAATATATATACACAACAGCAACAAACGGCTATAGAAACATTCAAATGCTGTCCTGAGTTTCTGCATTCTTATGAAGAGAATATTAACAACTATAGATGAAAATAAATTTTAAAAAATTAAGCTAGGCACAATTCCTGTGAAAGCCACAAGGTCTTAAAGCTCTGCTCATTAAAAACCACTCAAGCACCTGTGGGTCAACATCAACATTCGCCCAGCCCTTAGCAGGGCGTGTTCATGCATGTGCAGACTGGGCTTTCAGACTGGAGGAAAGGGAGTCCCCAGCACCGAAGTCAATGCCCTTGGAACTGCGTCAACTTCCAGCAATAGGCACACAAAATTACACTGTGGGCGTCAGCACGATTCCTTTTGCAACTGTATCTAATTTTAAAGGTGAAGCTTGTGATGCTTCCATCTGTGCTGAACATGCACAGCCAACATCTCAGTTAAGATGTCAGGAGTCCAACTGAAGAGCCTCCGTGATGGCTTGAAGTGAGAGACTATGAAGTACGAGCATGAAAGTCACCTGAAGAGCCCAAAATTTGCATTGGGGGCAATAACGAATTTCTCAGTTGTGTGTCTCACAGGCGCTTGAATCAGCAGAATACCCAACTCAGGATGTCCAAGTTCTGGACAACCTTTGAAGAAAGAAAATTCTGTAGTTTTCACCCTATAGAATCAAGAAAGGAAGGTGTTTCGTTCCTGTTTTAATTCAGTGGAAACTGTTGATTTCCAGATTCTCTACTGAACAGAGTTAGGCTCAACTATATTCTTATTAAACTAAAAAGTAAAGATTTACCATCTTCATGAGTTGCCAAGTCCTAGAACCATCTGTTCTTATACACTCTAATTCTATGAACTTCATTCATCCTATATAGCTTTAATTAAGGAGAGCTCTTCCACAGACACTGCAGTTATACCAAGTTTCAGCACTTATCCATCCTGGTTGATTCCCAGAATATTTAATGGCAAAAATAAACTAAAAGCTTTCATCACTAGTTAAAAGAAAGCTGTAATTCGAAGAGCAGTTTTGCTAACTTCTCTGTTGATCAAAGATGCTTCATAAGACCCTGATATGGTAGAAACAATCAGCTTTATAATAACAGTAATCAAAGCAGAGTCCTTTCATTGAGTGAAATCCCCCAGTCCTTACTCATACAACATTCACAGTGGAGAACACTACTTAAAAATGAGAACACCTTGGCAATGACTAAATTAAGGTCTCAGATATAGAAGAAAAAAACAAATAAACAAACAAAACTAGAAACTTTTATAGTTCACCTGCTTGCTACCTTGGATTAAAATGTGTCCATTTCTCTGATGATACTTGTTGGTGCCATTGTAGAAACAGAATATCATCTAAGAAAGAAAGCAGTAAGCTAAAACTTACCATGCTGTCCTCTGAAAGCCTGCTGTGATTAGGCCACTCATTTCTCTGACATCTACCTCCAAAAAGAGCTCAGCATAAGTCTAAGTGCTTCAGTGAATCAGAACCTCATAATTCAGTGATTTGCTCGGACTGTTTCTCTTCTACCCTCCTCTAAACTGGAGATGCAAACAAGCCTTGGGCAAAAACACACGATTTCCCCTCACCTTTGAGGGCTCTGTCATGTGGTTCCTCCAGGCCTCCTTCCCGAGCTCAGCCGGAGCTGTGTAGAGCAGCTGAGTGTCCTTCACATCTCTCATCCATGAGCAATGGAGCAGCAGAGCTCTCCTGAGGCTGGCAGTAGACCCAGGCCACCAATCACTGGGGCCCTGCACGCTCCAGCCTTTCTTCTTAGGAACGTGACAACAGGCCCTCCCTGTACAGCCTAGAGCTTTCATGA